ACATATGTTATCTGTATGATAAGTAGGATTGGCATTTGTAGTCCAGTTTTACAGAAACAAAAACTGAGGCTCTTAGAGTGTATACAACCACCTCAAATTCTAAGGCTCATAAATACAGATCTAGAATTTGAACTCTTATTTTTTGCCCTTAAGTCAACTGTTTCTGCCTTTATTCTTAGGCAAAAAAAAATTATTTGAAGCCCTTCAAAATGGAAATTTTAAGAAAAAGATTATAAATGTAATCTGATCTTACTGATTCATAACCATGATTATGAACATCAGTTACAAGATCTGTATTATTGGGACTACTGAAGCATGTTGGGAAATATCCCTCTATAAATGGCCTCAGATGCTTCACTTAGTGAATTACTGAGTCCATTTTATGTCCTTCACCCTTATAGTCCACTTGTTACTTCTTGCTGCTCATCTATATCTCCCCATATCAGCTACCTAACTGCTTATGTACTACAAGCTAACATTAAGCTTGTAAAGAGTATGATTTAATTCAGGATAGCCAGCTCCAAACAAAGAGGCAAAGAGTTCTCAAGGTCAATTTGGAAAAGATTAAAACTGTCTATCATTGAAAAAAATCTCTGGCCATACCCCTAATGTCACCTACAAGCACAAGGCTGAAAGTCTTAATGAAATTCTACTGAGAAAACAGAACTCAAAGCTTGAAGATGGGCAGCTTTGGAGATCTGATGAAAAACTCACAATTCTACCCTATGTTTTTCTTCATGAGGACTACAAAGTTCACTATGTTCTATAGGTACTAGGGCTTGAACTCAGTGCCTCGTGCCCACATTTGGCTGTTTCACTCAATGCGTGAACCACACCTTCCCTGCTGGCCTTTAGCTGGTTAACTGGAGCCTAAGAGTCTCACAGACTTTTCTGCCTGGGCTGGCTTCAAATTGTGATCCTCAGATTTCAGCCTCCTGAGTAGCTAGGATTATAGATGTGAGCCACTGGTACCATCTTCTCACTATGTAATTTTGTTTTATTTTAAACACACTAAGAAGCATGTCACAGGATAGCTTAGAAGAAGCTGTGGCATCAGTGAGTTTTCTCATCTGTAAAATGATGATAATGACAGTAGAGACCTCATAGGGCTGCTGAGAAAATTAAATGAGATAATTATGTAAAAGTAAGCATCATACAGAAGGCACTTAATACATATCTTCACTACTATTATCATCATCATCATCATCATTATTATAAGGTAGAGAAGAAGAATGAGAGAAAAAGGAGAATTTACTCTTTGTGGGAGTTTTCTCAAAAAGAATTAATTAAGCAGAAACAAAAAACGATTGTGCTCTGCCCCATTTTCCTAAGCACATCTAAGTAAATTAAATTTAGGAAACGAGGCAATGCAAAGATTGAAAATAAAGAACAACTTTTTAAATGCTTCAATCATTATCCAAACAACATTAGCAGCAGAGCACTCCAACCACTGTAGCAAAAGGCCCCAGGCTCATTTATGAGGGCAAAGTCTTCCTGCAAATGAAGACATAAAATCCAAATCGAGGCAGTAAGGATTGCTCGTGGAACTGCACATAGTTGCAGGAAATATTCACAGCTTCAACATCCCCAATGTGAATTAGTGAAGAAATCCTACGGAGACTGTGGATCTAGGCCAAGATCAAGATAAGCTTTCTTCAGTTTCATGTGGTAGAGAAAATAGCTCTCAAAAGCTGTCATATCCAATTTCACATGAATGAAGTAGTGGGGTGATTTTCTCAATAATTTGGCCTATCAGAATCTTGGGGAGGGGGTGTGAATTTTAGGGGGGAAATGTGTGCCTCTCACTCTCAACTCATTGGAATAATAAGCAATGATAAGTAAAGAAGAAGCTTATGCCCTGCTTTTTTGTAGCAATTCATAACACGTCATTTTGTAGTCGTTCTTGGTTTAAAGGCAACCCTCTCTAAATATTTCTTACAGGAAAGATGTGAGGGCAGCATCTTTCTGAACATGGCTGAAATGCTGGGACGGTGATTTACTCTTTCATATGGGGCTCACTTTCCGAAGTAAGGTAGGATAAGAAAAGGGTCAGGAGGTTGAAATCTGGAGGATAGTAGTTCGAGGTCAGCCTGGGCAACAAAGTTCACTAGACACCATGTCAAAAATAACCAGCACAAAGCAGGCTTGGATGTGAGGCTCAAGTGCTAGAGTGCCACCGGAGCAAGCACAAGGTCTCAAATTCAAAACCCCAGAGGAGGGGTCTGGGGTGGGGAGAGAGAACTGAAATGTGGTGATAAGTATATAGGATGACAAGTCTGAAAGCACTAACTTCATATTCTTTTTTTTTTATTCTTTTTTTTTCCAGGGCTGAGGACTGAACCCAGGGCCTTGCGCCCGCCAGGTGGGCGCCCTTCCGCTGAGCTAAACCCCCGACCCCTAACTTCATATCCTTTTGGCAAGATTATCCTTCTATGTATCCCCATAATTAAAGGAAGTGGGGGTGGGGAGAGAAAAGAGAACTAGAGAGAGAGAAGGGTGGGCACAACAAGTACATATTTTTTTATTTTCTTCTTTTTTGTATGTAGGTTTTATTGTAAAAATACTGTACAGAGGGGTTACAGTTACATGCGTAAGGTAATGAGAAATTTCCTCTGGAGCATTAACAAGTCCACATTTCTTTCCTCATTTAGTTCATTATCTAGTATCTAGCCTCCATACCACAGTGGCCATATCTGGAATCTAATTCAATCCAAATACTGTCAACTTATTTTCGCTCCCCATCTCATACTGTTCTAGGCCCTTAAAAAAATTCCATAATATGCTAAGTGTAGGACTGGATATAAATGAGGACATTCAAGGCCCTCATGTGGGCAGCCATGACAGCTGCTGTGCATCCCCCTGTCATTTCTTTAAGGTGCCCATCTAGCCAAATGATGGCTATAAGACAACATCTGGAGAGCTTACTTATATAAGAATTTAACACTCCATTCTAAAAAATCACCTTGATGCTCCCAAAGACTAAGACATGGCCCTCTACTTTAACCCAATTTTCGTATCATTCCCCTTCTTATCCCACTTTCAACTGCAAAGCCCATCTAGGAAGTATATGAATGGTACATGTATTTTTTGTCAGTCCTGGGCTTGAACTCAGGGCCTGGGCACTGTCCCTAAGCTTCTTTTGTTCAAGACTAGCCCTCTACCACTTGAGCCCCAGCGCCACTTCCAGTTTTTTCTGTTTATGTGGTACTGAGGAATGAAACCCAGGGCTTCATGCATGCTAGGCAAGCACTCTACCACTGAGCCACATTCTCAGGCCGGTATATGTATTTTTTTAATCAACCTCAATTGTTCATTCTATTTCCAAATTGTTAGTCTCAGCAAACTCTTCTTAATAGTTTGAAGACTAAATCACTTAATAAAGAATTTGAGCTCATATATTATGCTTCATATAATCAACCGAAAGACCCTTAAGGCTTTGACACAAGAAACTGTTGTGAAAGTATGCTTTATGAGCTAATCACAAATTAAGCTATGCTCAACCCACTGGTGCTGGTGGCTCATGCCTGTAATCCTAGCTACTCTGCAGGCTGAGATCTGCGGATCTCAGTTCCAAGCCAGCCTAGGCAGAAAAGTCCATGAGATCCTTATCACCAAGAAACCACTAAAAAGTGCAAAGTGGAGCTGTAGCTCAAGTGGTAGAGCCTAGTCTTGAGCACAAAAGCTCAGGAACAGCACACAGGACTCCAGATTCACCACGTTTAAAAAAAAAAAAAAAAACCTTACAATTCAGAGACTAATTCTAGTAAAAGTGCCATAAATCTAAATGTTTACCATATCAAATAGAAGTGTTATTTTTGTATCTCATCCAGATTCTCTCTTTATGGGGCCAACAAAGATCAGCTGATTCTGTGGATTTAAGGTTTTTAAAGAGGAACTCCCCCTGAGAACCAGTGGCTCACCCCTGTAATCCTAGCTACTCAGGAAGCTGAGAACTGTGGATGCCAATTCAAAGCCAACCTGAGCAGGAAAGTCTGTGAGACCCTAATCTCCAATTAATCACAGAAAAAAAAAGAAGAAGTAGTGCTGTGGCTCAAGTGGTAGAGTACTAGCCTTGAGCAAAAGAGCCAAGGACAGCACCCAGACCCAGAGTTCAACCCCCAGGACTGTTGAAAAAGAATAAAAATAAGAACCCCCAACTCTATAATTAATCTTCCCAGGCCTAAAAGGCAGCCTGAGGGAGGAGGTATAAGACATGGACCTCATGTATATGATGGAGCTATTAATGCCTATACATAAATATATTGTGAGGATAGAGGGACTGCTACATAGCAAGCAGTTCAAAGCACATTGTGTTACCTACCACCACCCACAACCATGATCATCATTAAAGACTTTATCTGGATCTTTTAACTGAGGGAGGGAACCCCTCTCTCTATCCTTCCTTCCTCATGCTGCTATGATAAGTCTTATAAGTTAGTAAGTATAACATAATTTGCTGCTTCCTCTATCAAGGCCACAACAGCTTCTTTCATAGTCCTAACAGAGGCAGATTAAGAACTGAGATTCTCAAGGAAAGGAGAAGTAACCACTCACACAAATGGAGAATGTCTGGCCAATGAGCCAGTTTATCCTTCTTAAAATGGACATGGTCCTAGTGGTCTGAAGGAGTTCATGTGTGCTCCACAGGAATCTAAACTCCTGGAGAAAACTGACCTTGAGACTTTAGAGAACTGTTTGTTTTGTGGTTTTTAACCAACTCTTATGAACTAACTGAAAGTAACATTTACTCCCTAGGCAGAGATTGACAACCTATGCATACAGGAAAACAGAATGTCCTGGGACCATGATTTTTGAGAAGCCTTCCTTTGCAAAGATGAAAATGAAGCTTCATTTTTTGGGGGAAGGGGTAATCTCATTAGGTGAGCTTTTAAAATATTAAGTATTAATGCTAAAATGGGAATTTATAAATTAATTAGCATTTGAGAGCCCAAAGAATGATACCATTGAGCAACACATGGACAATGATTCCCACAGCTCACCTTGGAAAACTGCAGCATTCTGAATAATTAAGAACTTGAGCTCCATACTGGCAGACTGAAGCAGTTGTTCCATGTTCAATCGAGCTGTTAGTTGGTATTTTTCTTCCATCTTTCTTGAGCAGCATGTTGGGCCCTTGGGGAGACATACTTGCAAATCTGATCCTGAAACAAACAAGGTTTTCATGTTTCAGTAAGCACAATGTCTCTCTCTCCCTCTCTCCCCCATCTTTCTCTCTCTTCCTCTCTCATTTTCTCTCTCTTACACAGACAAGCAAACATGGCAAAAACATTTCTTTTAATATACAAATTTTGATTCTTCAAAAGTACTGTCCATTAATCCTTACTTTCCACTAATTGTCCTTATAACTGGTTCTTTCTGAATAACCATAAGAATTAATTGCCTCAGTTTGACTCATAAATTCTGCATAAACTAATTTATAGCACCACCAAATACATGTCATTGAACACCGATATTTAATTTGTCTGTTAAAAGATCAATCTTCGCTCCTATAATTTACATTTCCTGATTATAATTTATGAAGGAGAACACAACCAAGAAAAAATGTTTTAAATTCCAGTTATGATTCCCAAATATCTGGACAATCTAAGGTTGCTTTTCAGAAGAAATTATCGAAACATCTATATTATGTCAAAGCTTTGTTGCTGTTTTTATGAAATGTCCAGAGTAAGATGCAAGTCTTTCTACAAATGTATGCTAATCATAGTGGTTTTAACAGAATACAAACCAAAATACTTATCCTCATGGAGTTTATATTCTCAAGACCACAAGCAAAGAAGTGAATTAAAATATATTAAACATGATGCCAGTGCTGATTAGTAATATAAACAAAATAATAAAAAGGAGGGATAAGCTATGGCATATCCACACATGGAATTCTATTTAGCCATAAAAAGGAATGATGCATTGCTACATGCTACTACATGAATGAACCCCAAAAACATTATGCTTAAGTGAAAGAAACTAGATCTAAAAAGAGTACATACTGTATAATTCCATTCTTATAAGACACTAAAAAATGGAAATTAATCTACAGTGAGAAAAAGCAGTTTGGTGTTATTATAAAGGGATTAAAGGTAGGAAGGAAAGTGGGAGGGAAGAATTACAAAGCTTGGTAAGGAAACTTTTGGGAGTAATATATTATTTTCATTGTGGTGATGGCTTAATGTGTATATACAAGCCAAAATTGTCAAGCTGTGTCCTTTAAAAACAGGCTTTTAATTACATATCAATTATACTTCAATAACACTTGTTGTAAAAAAAAATGGCAGTAGATGGGCACTAGTGGCTCATGCCTATAATCAAGCTACTCCAGAGGCTGAGATCTGAGGATCTCAGTTCGAAGCTAGCCCAGTCAGTAAAGGCCAAGAGATTCTTATCTCTAATAAGTTACCAGAAAGCCAGAACTGGAGCTGTGGCTCAAGTGGTAGAAAAAAGAAGCTCAGAGACTGCCCAGGCCCTGAGTTCAAGCCCTCAGGACAGGCAAAAAAAATTGGCAGTACTGGGGTTTGAATTCGGGCTTACATTTGTTAGACAACTGCTCCTCTTGAGCCATACCTATTTTGTTATAGTTATTTTTCAGGTAGGATCTCATGCTTTTGTCCAGGATGACCTGGGAGTACTATCCCCTCCTATCTCTGTCTCCCAGCAATCTGGAATTACACATATATGAAACCACACCCAGCTTGTTGTATGAGGTAAGGCTTCACTAACTTTCTGCCTAGGCTGGCTTCAAAACACAATCCTTCTGATCTCCACCTCCTAAGGAGCTAGAATACAGGCCCAGTCCTAATGTACTTCATTTCTAAAAGAAAAATAAGGGAGATATGAAATATGGTGGTAGCAAGAACTATTCTATTCTACAATTGGAAGGCCTTATTTCACTATAAAGCAACATTTGAGGTATGATGGAGAAAGTACCATGATTTTAAATGCCCACCAACATTATTGAGAATTAAAGCTCAATGACTATTAAATCAAATCACCTTCCTTTCTTCAACTCCTGTGGGTTTTTCTGTTGTTGATGTTGTTGTTGTTTTTAAGTGCTGAGGATTGAACCCAAAACTTCATGCATATTAAGCACATACTCTACTGTCCATATTCTGGTTTACTCGAATTCTCTCTTCAATAAGCACTGATTGGGCTCCTGCGGTGACTGCGACAATGTACACTACCATTGTCCTACTGTGGGAAATAATTGACTAGTAGTAAGCTCAGCTATTGCTTTCTGAGTTTATCACCATTATGTTGCATGGTCATAGTCCCTAGGGACTGTTGTCCCCTAGTGACCATGCATGGCAAAAAATGCAAAGTTCTGTTAAGACATAGAACTTTGCCCAAGGGAGACCTTTGGTTTAAGGACTCCCCAGTGATTTGGGAAAACTTTCTTGGGTCTATGATTCTTCCTACTCAATCCTTCCTTCTATCTTTATTCCACTTTCCATTTTCCTTCTCATTTTCCCCCCAATAAATTTATTGTACATCCAACTCCATATTGGATTAGATGCTTACCCACTGGGCATCTCCCTATGCAAAGGACCCTATCTAACATGCCAGGTACTGTGTTATATGCTGGAGGTACAACAGAGGACAAGAAAGACTTGTTCCCAGCCCCCAAAGAGTTCACTACCTAAAGGGATTAAGAGAGATAAACACCTAGTCCTAGTAAATGAGCTCAATAAAGCAATGATAAACTGAGTATAGAGGATATAACGTCCCCTAAAGTTCCTAAAGATCCTCGCCAAGTGAGGTTCAATAAATCTTACTAACGTAAGGCTTGAAATCGTATTCAGATGTTTTAGACAGCTTTTCAAAAATTGAGGTTTTAAAAAAGGAGGGTGGGGGGACTAGTTAGCTTTAAGTTCCCAGACATTTTCTTTTTGTTACAGCATTTTATTTCCCTAGGAATGCCCGTTGAGCATGGTGTTAATGTACAAATGTACATTTTCATTGATTAATTTGAGAAAGACATTCATCAATTTATGCCTCACAGGACATCGGTGTTGGAATCCAGGGTATTGCCTCCACGCTCTCCACTGCCCTCTTCTCAAGGGAGCTGCCAAGAACGGTAGTAAAGAAGTGTAGATCATACGTATCACCAAGCCTAATCCGGTCCTGCAATTTATAGTAGTGGGTGGAAAGGTGTTATTTAATGTCAAAATACAATTTGGGGTCTGGAGACACAAAGTTCAGACTTATCTCTTATAAATGTCAATCTCATATACAAGCCTTAGACTGATTTTAAATATGGTCTAAGCTTAAAAGCTTTATGATTATCTTCAGAAAAGGAAAAAGAAAAGATCTTCTAGCTCACAGTGCTCTTTCTACACAAGGTTACAAAATATAGTGTTATTTTAGCAGGAGAAACGGATGCAGTTACTGGACCGAGAAGGGAAAGAGTCCCCTTGGGGAAGAGTAGCTAATCTAAATTTAAACAAGGTTGCTTGGGACACATGCGTAGATATGAAAAATCCTACGTAGCAGATCTTTCCTTAGGTCAAGATCCTGTTCATTTAGCAAGATCTTATTTACTTTCTGGGTAAACCAATGCCTATAGAATATGTGTTTAAAAATCCCTCGGCTTACATAAGTTCATGAAATTAATTGTTGGAGATTAAACCATGTGTATTTCTAAATTCCCATTGGTGATGTCTTCCGGTTTTCAAGCCTGGCAGAATTTATCTGGCTGGGTGGCTAGCTGTTAGCCCTGTTTCTGTTCTCACCATCTCCAGCTAAGGGGTAACAAAGGCTTAGATCACTCATCTTTGTTGGAGTAGGACTTGCTAAGACATTCTAAGGTAACAAATTGTTGTTCAATGTACCTAAAGAAACTCAAGAATGACTTTGAATTACCATGCCACCAGTTTGGCTTTCCTGTGATATAATTCAGATTTACTCAGGATTTCCACATTTGTACCCTTCCTTTGAATGAGTCAAGTCTCATCAATGTGAAAATCCCCACTACCTCAAAAACCAGGTTAGCTAAAAATGTTGACAGGAATACAACATCAAATTGGAATTTTTATAAATACATTAAAACAACAGCAAGAAACATACAACCTCTTGTGTCGCTAGCGAGGTTCATTTTGCTTAGCATCATCTTATATGGTCATACCTACATAGCTTTTGACCTTTTCTACTTGTCCTAGACATATACTAATTATTGCAAATAAGGGAAACCATGGGACCTATGTTTCTTTGGGCCTGGCTTACTTCACTTAATATAATTTTTTTCCAAGTTCCCATGGTATAACCCTCGTTTTCATTGTATTTGATTCCGGTGCCCTGCATCTTGTTTATACATTTTTCTAATTTGGGGAGGGGAAGGAAAATAACAAAATGCTGAGATAAGGATGCATGTTGACCCATTGTAACAATGATATGTACAAGATACTATGTTGAAAATGAACTTTACAATTTGAGGGGGGGGGTGGCAGGGGTGGGGGGAGTTGGGGAGGTGTGGAAGGAAGGGATGGTAGGGGAAAAACAAAGGAGGAGGTAACAATGCTCGATAGGAAATGTACTCATTACCTTACTTACTGTATCTTTACAACAAAAATAATAATAAAAAAGGAAGAGAAAAAAATGGGAATTTTTTTTAACATATCAAATGTCATGAAGAAAGGTCTGTGTTCCAAACCTAAGTGTCTAAATAGCAATATTTACCCTCCCTATCAGTTATCAGTGCCTGGTTAATCAATAACACCAGTAAAAATGATCTAGGAGCTAAGACTTAGCTATAGATTTGAGGAAATAACACGTCCAGAAATGATAAGAGTTCAAGATTTCCAATCTGAGAAGGAACTCATACCAAAGGGGAAAACATTTTGTTCTAAGTAAATTTCATATAACTCACAGACAAGCTTTAAAAAAAATTCACAAGACAGCAAAAGAGAGCTAGACATGTCTAAATAAAATGTCAGTAACAATTTCAGTGCCACGAACATTTGCTTGAAATAAATAAAGTAGAGAGAAAGAATTTAGAAGGAATCCTTATCAACTAAACAAAGACTTTCCCTGGGAACTGAATCCCAAATAGGATGAATAAAAAGTTCAAAGTACAAATGACTAAGAAACTGCAGAGAGAACTACCACATACTTACATGAATAAAAACCAAGAGGTCAATTTCACAAATAGGATGTG